GGGAAAGAGAATAATGTGAAAATCAAAAAAATTAAAACTACTTACTGAAATAGACAGAGAGTGAATGAAGACCGACAATAAGGTGTATGTGAAAATTGAAAAGGAGAGGAAAAAATGGTGTTTGAAAAAGAAGAAAAAAGTCCTAAATTGAAAGTTAGAGGTGTAAAATTAAAAACTTAAAGAATAAAAATAATTAAGAATATTTTAGAAATTTCTTAAAAATACATAAATAAGGTGTACTTATAAAAAAAATGAGGTATATATATCATGAGTCTTTTTTTAAATCTCACCCAACCTAGCCCCATAATGAGCGAGTTGGATCAATCAGGTCAACATAATTAATTAATTTATTTTTTGTAAAAATTTAAATATTTCATAATACTTGTAAATTATTTGATATCTTATTACAAATGCAATGTTATCATCTCATAAAGTAAATAATGATACAAATTAAATTGCAAAATAAATTTCTTGGTTTGTTACATTGTTATTAGCTCAAACAACTAACATTAATACAAAATAAATTTTTAAATAAATGTATTATATTATTATAATATTATCAACTTATATATAAACATAAGACTCGTTACTAACCAAGAGTGACATATATAGTATTGAGCAAGTGATTATTCAAACACTAATTTATTATTATTATTATTATTAAAAAATACAAAACTCATTATTCAACTCGTATAGTGTTTAGATTTTTATCGGGTTGAATTGGATTTGACCCGACTAAAAAAATTTAATCCAAACTCATTAAATCAATTTAGATTAATTTGAATTTGCGAATTACCCATACCTACTTACACTCCTATTAATTATCAACAAAAACAATACATTCATTAGAACATGCTTAAAATCTAAATAATTAATTATAATTTCATGTAATTAATTATTACACGGAATGTGAGACTTTCTTGAAAAAAATATATTTTAAAAGTATATATTAATAAATTTTTAATCAATGAAATACATGGTTTTTCAAACAAAATTTAATTAGTTAATTTATTTAGTAATCAATTTGATTTTAAACATTATGAGCTTGATTTAATTTTAATGTTAAAAATCATAATCTTTTCACTTTTGTCTTTCAATTTTTTGAATGAATACATCATTATTCTTAAAATTAACTTAAAGAACCAAATACATATCCGCATTGAATATTGCAATCAATAACGTATATACAACAAAATATTATAATTGATAACATCAAAAATAAATAAATAAATATGAGACTTAATTAAAATTTTAAAGTAAATAAATAAACTTTATTCTCAGCCATTTAAACACTTATTATTTTGATTTTTTTTTTATTACTTTCATTCGTTGATACACTAATATATACCAATTTTATTATCTCTTTTCTATTAATTTTGTTCCTTTTTGAAGGCAATCAACCTAGCTATCTTTTTCTTCTCATCAAACACACACAGCGCAACCCAATCGAAGAAGAACAAGAATAAGACTGCGGAGAGAAACCCTCAAAATGCATTCATTCGGCTACAGAGTCAACGCGTTGCTCACCTTTGCCGTTACGATTCTCGCCCTCATGTGCGCCATGGCCTCCCTCTCCGACAACTTCAACTCCCCCACTCCCTCCGCGCAAGTCCAGGTCTTGAACATCAATTGGTTTCAGAAACAGCCCAACGGCAATGACGAGGTCAGCATGACACTGAATATATCAGCAGATTTGCAGTCCCTTTTCACATGGAACACAAAACAGGTTTTTGTTTTTCTAGCTGCCGAGTATGAAACTCCAAAGAATTCCTTGAATCAGATATCCCTATGGGATGGTATCATTCCCTCTAAAGAGCATGCCAAGTTTTGGATTCATACATCGAATAAGTACCGCTTCATTGACCAGGGGAGCAATTTGCGTGGCAAAGAATATAACCTGACTATGCATTGGCATGTTATGCCAAAGACTGGCAAAATGTTTGCAGATAAAATAGTCATGCCAGGTTACCGATTGCCACAAGAATATAGATGATGTCTTCTTGTCAAGTTAATTTTTTTTCCTGTAACTCTAACCTTTTCTATAGCGGATATAGAATGTTGGTTCAAAGAACTAGAATCAGGAAGGGATTTTGTGTTTTGGAAAGTGAAATCAATAGTGTCTGAATGAATATTTGAGCATCCGAAGTTTGCTTGTGTTCTTCAATTGTCTCTTGCATTGTTCTGAACTTTTTTAGTTCCTCCAGAAAAAACATATTATGCTATAATGAACCCTCTAGCTGTTGAAAGTTGAAACTACTTGAGCAGTGTTCACCTTGAAAAAAAAAAATCAACCTAGCTATTTCAATGCTCGATGAATCCATCGGACTGAATTTGCCATGTTTCTTGATATTCTAATTATCGCAAATGATGTAATTCAAAGTTGAAAATTTTTCTAAAGTAAAGTGCTTCGGACTTGCCAACTCTTTGGCATGTAAATTGTCATCAAATAAACCATCCTGTGAGGTAGTAATAATAATATGTCTATATGAGTACACTATATTAGTACCCGTATATATACCACTTGTATATATAATAATATATGTTAATTTTAAAATTTCTCTTAAAGTTGTTACCTTACGTGGTAGTAGTTTTATTAGTACGGCACAATTTTCTCTGTATTATATTATTAGAATATTATTATAAGTGCTATATATTATTTGTATAATGGTACATTTCAATCTTAATTTTTTTTACAAAAATACTAAGCAGTTCTTTTGTATTATTACTATAATAGTGCTATTTGGTAAGAATAACTTTTATATTTATTTTTATTAAATAAATTTCAACTAAAAATTATACTATTAAGTAATTCATTTTTAACTTTTAATTTTTTCTTCTTCTGAGTAATGTAAATCATATTACTGTACGTAAATATTACATAGAGATATACATAATAGTATTAAAGAAGAATTGCGATGGAATACTCAATTTTATGACTTTTCTATATTAAGAATAATAATATGTAAAGTGTATAATAATATATAATAAAAGGTGTTTTTTTATTTTTTATCTTTATATATTATATTCATGTGCAAATATTATGTAATAACATTAAGAATATATATATATATATATATATATATAATAGAAAAAAGTCACTTATGATTTGATTGATTATAATATTATTATATGGTAATATTATTTAATAGTATTAAGAAAATATGATACAATAATATGACTTGTGACTTGATTATTTATGATGTTTTTACTTGTATGTAAATAATCTTATATTCTCTAATGTACATAGAAATAAGAACATTTTGGGTAGAACTTTATTAAATAATAATCAATTTTGATTTACAATTAATTTTTTCAATCAATGTTTGAGTTAAACATATGCAATATTAATGTTTATATTTATAATGTCAGATGGATATCGAAAGACTATAAAACTCTAACTATCTTATTTTTATTTTTGTTAATTGATTTCAAAATTTTGATTGTATATATTTTAAGGGTAAAAACAAAAATATCATATGTGGAAGTAATTTCAGACATATATGTATATACATAGTTATTAAACTGAATAACTCTATCAATTGTTCACAGAATAATTTGATTTTCATTCCTCTCTCAGTATAGTCTTTTAAAATCAGTGCATGACTGTTAGTCTCTCAATGATCGAGTTTTTATTCTATATTATAATTCATTTTTCAAGTGTAAAAGTAGTAGACTAGTAGTATATATATAGTAAAATTTACAGTTTGAGGAATTTTTCAATTACAATAAATATCTAGATATTTTCTAGAAGTTAAATTGTTGTAAAGTTACAAGTGTCTTAATTTTCTTTTCTTCACTTGTTTACTTCTTTACTTTTAAAATTTTCAGATATTATATGATGCATAAAACATGCATGTTTAGCAAAGGACATAGGGAAATAATTCTTTATAAATTTGATGTTAATTATTAGAATATTTCTATAACTTGAGTTGCGGAATCTTCTAATAAATTATATATAGATCCAAGTGTCTTGCTAGCTTGACCAAATATAAACCTTTACGAACGTGTAAAAGACAGCAAATATTAAAATATGCTTATAATTTTTTTGGGGGGAATATATTATATTTAAAATACACATGGATAGCTGTTATATTTTAATATGGCTCATATATATATATATATTCTAAAACAATTTTTTAAAATTTAATAATTATTTAAATTATAACTTTAAAATAATTTTCTAAATTTTATATTTCTATAAAATAACTAATTATTTAAAAGGAATACTTGTAATCAAGTATTTTTTTTGTTTTTTAATTATAAAAATATAATTCCTTAATTGATTACACACACATAAATAATATGGGTTTTTTCTTTCAAAAATATAATTAAGCCAATACAATTTCAATTGGTTATATAAAAAATTTATTTTATATCATATAGGAAGTAAAAATAAATAAATAAAACTGTATTCAAGTCCCTTTGAATTAATTCATAATGAAAAAAAAACATATTATTGTTATTTGTTCGGTAATAGAGTAACAAAATAATAACTCACAACAACAATAAAAGACAAGAAACTGAGAAGAAAAGAGACAATGGACAAAGGAGAAAATTCACTAACACAAAATTTTCAACACCTCTCTATAAAATAAGAAAATACTACTACTAAGAGAAAGCTCTCAAAGTAAATAATAAAGAGAAAAAATTTGGAATTATTTAAAAATGTGACAACCAATCTTTGTAACACGGCGTGTTTTCACTTTTATGCATGTTTGTGGTTTACATGATGATTTCGAATGTTTTAATTTATTGTGTGGTGTTTCAAGTTATATATAAGAACTGTGAGGGTTGATAAACTCTTAAGAGTCGGATTGAAGTGAGGCATTTCAGTTGAGATGAAATTGGACTACAATATTTCAATTTTAATTAGAAATTGAATAAAATAATTGATTTAATAAAATAATTATATTAAGGACTTAATTAATTTAATTAATTGAGTTGGTAATGTAATTAAAATATTTTTAATAAATAAATAAAATAAAAAGGATATGGGTTGAGAACGAAGACTTAGGTTCGATTTTTGAGTTCAACCTTAAGACTTATTAAAAATAAAGAGTAGGTCATTCATATGCGTCTATTTTGAATTGTAAGAGCACATGTAGAGGAAAACTTAGGGAGAGACACCGGAGAATGTGCGAAGTAACGAAAAAAGTAGTGAAAG